GGCTGGGGAATTCTGGGAGTTGAAGTCCACACAGCTTAAAGCAGCCAAGGTTGAAAAACACAGATCTACATATTATTCAAACATATTACTTACCTTTTCCAGTCCAGTTCAAAATACAAGAGAAAACTATAAGACAGCACTAAAAATAGAAAACATTTAACAGTAAAATGGTACTTTCCTTCAAAGCAAAGCATATCACAAAAGCAGCAGCCCATGAATGATAGAAAGCTTTAGGAATGAATATTAGAGCTGTATTGCTACCTGCTGTTCCAATAGCTTGGACATATGCGAAAGCAAGATCGGACCGACCCTTCAGAGAGTTTTCCAAATGCTGAAGGTCCATTAGTGTTGAAACGTATTTCACTTCATTGAAGAGGAGAGCACTGGAAAGAAAACAGGATGAGCAACACGTGAATGGGATATGTGAAGTCCCTCAGCAAGAGAACAACCATCTGTATTTTAAGTAAGAGGGGATAAAAGACAGCTATAACTCAATCCCATCATATTATTGTAATTTAACAAACATGCATATGTTTCCTGCCTGACGGCTCTCCATCTGGTTCCTCCTAAAAACAGCTAAACAAATTAGGAAACTCTGTGGTCCTTTTTTAAAAAACAGTTGTGATGTATGAACCTGGATTTATGGCTTATTATTCTGAGAAACCCATGAAAATCATGGACTGTAGCTTCAGATTCAGCTTGCTAGGCACAAGGATATGTGAAACCATTCAAGTCCAGAAAGTTTTACTTTGGGTTGGTTTGTTTGATTGATTTGGCGCCTTCAGTTTTGACTCCTGGCAACTGCTTGCTAAGTCCCTGCAGTTTTCTTGGCAAGATTTCAGAAGTGGTTTGCCATGGCTTCCTTCCTAGGGCTGAGAGAGAACGATGGCCCAAGGTCGCCCAGCTGGCTTCGTGCCTAAGACAGGACTAGAAATCCCTGCCTCCCAGTTTCTAGCCTGGTGCCTTAACCACTACACCAAACTGGCTCTCTTTACTTGGTTAGGAAGACAATATTCTGATCCTTGTTAAGTGACCCATTTATAAGCTTGTAAGAGATTATAAGCATTTCACTGAAACAAATCCAAGTCCTTTAAGAACCATGAGGTCAGATCTTCATCGCAAACTCCCACCAAAGACTCTCCTTGCTCGGCCTTTTTTCTGCTTCATTCGTAGAATTTTGCTGTCTTCCAGAGCCCAGATAGAATGAACTATCTGCTTTCCACAAAAAATGAAAAGCAGCTCCTTGGGAAAAATAGCACTAAGAAATACCCCAAACAAGAGGATTTTAACTGTTAATTAGTTTTATTTTTTAAAAAAATCTGTTTGCGTTTCTATTTAGCTAAGTTTGCTGCCTTGAATAAAGGCAGGATGTACATTGAATAAATAAAGGACAGTGTACTTACAAAAGTACATTTGCCACAATGGCATCCAGGCTGAACAAGGCATCTATAGCAAGTTCACGAACCAACACATGGGCCCTGGAAAACAAGATAAATGCTTAAAGCCAGTGCTGATAACACAGCTGATAGCTTCTGCCAGAACAGTGAACGCTGTCTATCACGTGTCGCATCTTTGGGATGGTTGAGTAGTCAGACTTCCTTGGCTTCAACTGGGAGTGCCAATGAGCCTTCAGTATACACAGTAAGATGGAGAATGGAGTACTCAATGCCACTTCTACCTAACATATCTTTCTGATGTCTGGACACAGTTATATCACAAAGGGTCCAGACTAAGATCTGATCCTTTGGTCTTTCAAGAACCTTCAGAATCAGCCCTTTTCTCCAATGGTGAGTTGATCTTATCATCTGCTATAGATTCATATCTGTGAGGGCTGAAGCTGGCATGATGAGAAACAAAGAAGCTAGGAGCAGACAAGATCATTATATAAACACAGGACATACTGTTTAGTTACCACATGTAGTCCCCTGTTAAAACTGCCTAAATTGGTGACCCTCACCACATCTGATGGTATTGATGTTTATAGCTTAAGTACAAAATACTTCTCTTATTAGAACTGAATAGCTTTGAATTTCACTGATTCTAAGTTCTAATACTTAGAAGAAAAAAATGGCTAGGTCCACATTTTCCACAAGGTATATGATTTTACACACTGCCATCATAACCTAATGGTTTATTTAATGAAATAGGGTATTTCAGCAAAAAAATATTGTATTTTCAGTTCAAAGCGTGGATAAAGAAGCTCATTTCACTTCAGAGCAGACCAGACTCCAGCCTTCTCCTCTCCTTTGCTTTCCTATAATTAATAGGTTAACTCAGCTGCCCTTACTTTATTACCCTCCAAATGATGTTGGGTTGAAACTCCTATCAGCTTTGGCCAGCAAGGTCAAGGAAAAAGAAGCTTCACAGGCTGGGAAAGGGCAAAGACAATCAGATCTCAATGCCCAGCTATACAAGTAGCTGTCAGGTTATGACCACTCATTCAACAACTGTTCAAACTTATGACACCGAACAAGGGGGACCTACAACTGGTCGTCAAAGTTCTGGTCATTGCAGCATCTCCATGGTCACATGGTTGCGATTCAGGTGCTTGGCAGCCAGCTCGAACTTATGCAGTCTTGTGATCGCCATTTGCGACCTTCCTTGTTGGCTTCCCACAAGCAAAGTCAACGGGGAAGCCAGCAGGAGGTTGCAAGTCACTCCTGGTGCTTTTTTGCCTACCTGCGCTCCATAATGCTCCCCGTGGCACCCACTTGTAGTGCATGCCCATGGCACCCACCCACCTGTGCTTCATAGTGCTGCCAGTGGCACCCACCTGCCCACCCCTAGCTCTCACTTGCAGTTCTCAGTCAGCAGCCTGCTTGCCTGGGACCCCCACCTCTTCCCACAACACAGTCATGTGAGGTCCTTGCTTAACAACCCGCGCAGTCCTGGAGTTATGACAGCAACTGGGACTGCCGGGATTTCTGTCACGAAATGATGCGGTCACATGACATTGCGTTTTACGACCACATTGCTTAGCAATGGAAATTCTGGTCCCAATTGCCGTTGTAACCTGAGGACTACCTGTACAAGCTGAGTCAGTGTAATGTATTCATTTGCAATCAGTGGAACTATTTACCTGAATAGGTATACTTTTCCCAAGGAGTTATCTCCTCTGCAGTAGCTGGATGCTTCTCCTCTTTGACAGTTAACCTGTGAAGAAAAAAACTAAAATCCTAAAATCTTCCCTGAGATATTATTGTAATGTTAACGATCATGCTGCAAAGGTAGGAAACCTACAGCTAACTCAATTATATACAGTGAAGTGATTGCTATCATCAAAATTAACCAAGCCCAAACCTGCTTAGCTTTCTAGATCAGCTCAGATAACCTGCTGAGGCTTACTATATTTCATTTGGAAACACTTCTATAAAAACCTTCCCCTCATCTCCCACATCAACAAATTAGACAAGCTGGATGATGTATTAAATATACAGTTGCACTTCAGGAGTCTGTATTTGCTTATTTTCAGAAAACAGCTCTTGGGGAATCATCAGGATTGAAAGTGAGGCATATGGAATTGGGTTTTTGTGTCCCTGCATTACAACCCTGTTAAAAATCCTAACCTCTGAAGCTGCTTTTTGCTCTGGGAGAGAAGCTTCCATTAATATCAACAGTGAAACAGTAGCTACTGTTTACCTAAAATAAAACCAGGCACGTTATATAAAACCATGGTTTTAATAAATCGTCTCGTTGGACCCATATTAAATCGGAAAAAGTCTCAATTTAATCTCCCTTTGTTATACCAGATCCCTGATGTTCTCCTTCTACAAGACTTCTCTTCGTACAGTGCTAGAAGTCAGCAGTTCAGCGATAGAACTGAGTCCTAGGAAATTCTAATTTACAAGGTCAGGAAAGCATGCAGAGCAGGACTTCCAGAATTCTTTCCAACCCCTTCAAGAGTGGCCCTATATTCATGCATAGGTATGTATTGGGAAGCACAGGACAGGCTGCACACACTCTGCTCTGGATCACATGTGGAACAGAGCAGCTGTCAATGTTTTGAGCCTTTCCCACAGCTGGAGGAATGTTCTTTTTCATAGCTCGCAGCCTGATCCAGGCCATTTTTTATCCCATTCTTTCTCCCTGCACACTCAATTTCACCCCATCCTGTTCAGTATTCAGACAGACAGATGCATGGAGTCTCAATTCCTTTACATAATTTCTTTCTAATTTTCTGTGGAGTTGGGCAGAACAAAAAGAAATCCGTTAATAGGAAAAACCGTTATCTCAGGACTTAACAGTCAAACAGATTACACAAGACTGGACGGGCAATCATTCAACTCAGTAGGATTATGTTTTGTTTAAAAAATAGAGAAATGGTTCATTCTGCATTCAAAAGCTGGTGGGCAATTTTTATCTAAACGTTCGTCATTTACATCGTGGTAGAATTTGGCTGGATTGTCTCGAAATTCCAAAAGGGCCAGGCTTCCCTAAGAATTATAAATAAGAAAACAATTATAAATAAGAAAACAATTTCACCTTTAAAATAGAAATTCCATAATCTCGGAGAGCTTCTCTGGAGTTCTCCAGCTGTTCCAGGAACACCTCACTAGATGGTGAAACTGGAATAAAAAAACAAGACCTTGACTGGCATCATAATGACAATCATAGTGATATTTTTAATATTTCTAAAACATTGTTTAATTTACATCTTCATTGGCGAGTACCAAACACATATTGAATTTAACAGCAGGAATGGAGAATGCATCATTCTCTATACATTGTTGGTTTATCTTGAAATCCTCATGTTGATTTAAAGCCATTTTTATTAACCTGCTTGCCTTTTACCTCTTTTCTGTCCCCATACTGACACAAATATGAAAGCCTAGGGGGGAACAGGGAATGGCCTTGCAGGACAGAAGGAAGAGCTGCTACCAAGGCAATGATCAGATAAGAGGGGCTTGAGCCCAGGCCAAGAAAGTAACTTGAGCAAATGTCTGACAAACCCCTCCCTAGTTCCAATGAAGATAAATGGAAGAGGGAGAAATGCATTCGGACTTGCAAGATCCCGTTACTATGGCTGTTATATTAATAGTAGTACTGACTTACATGGCATTGGTTTGTTAGTCTGGTCTATCTTGAAGGGCTGGCAGAAAGACAGAGCCTTCCTGGGAATGGCACATAAACTATGGAATTCCTTCCCAATGACATCTTGCCGAGCTTCCTCTCAGTGTTTAAGGTGAGGTAAACCTCTTGCAGCTGAGGGCTATATCCAGTACTGAATGGCATACTGAAGACTAAAAGCAGGTGTGGCCAAGGGGAAAACTGAGTAAGCCGTAAGAAGAAAATTAAGCAGAGTTGAAAGTTGAGCTGTATGTAAAATAAATGAAATAAATGTATCAATGCCAGCGTCAATACCAGTGGCACTGCTGAGGCTCCAGAAGGTGGTCACAAATACTGATGGCCTGGTTCTGACCAATCTTCCTCAAAAATTAAATTAGAACAGGGTTGTCCCTTGAACAGTCAGGTAAAGTCACCTTCTTACCAGCCTATTCCAGTAGAACCACTACAGAAAGGGCCATAAAAGCAAATAAGGCAAAATCCATTTTTGGGGCATGAAAAAAAAATTGAACCATAGCTAAGCAAGAAACCACTACACCAACCAAAATGTCACAAAAGCATGTACATACTTCCACATTCTCCAGAACTCTTCATCACATTAGACAGGCAGAAGGAACTATGGTGCCTGAGAGAGTCAGGTCACCCATGGGTACCTCCCTCAGCATCCTTCCCACTCCCTATCCCACCCCATCTGACTTTTTAAAAGATAATTTGAATCAGGGGCTTCTGCTGAGTCATGGCTGACTGAAGACATCTCTGTGAACGAGTGGAGATCATGACAGCTGTGTAGAACGAAAGACTGGCAAGTAGACCGGTCCTTCGAAACTCTCCGGAGAAGGAGAGAATGGGAGATCACCCAAGAGTGCTCTGAATGGCAGCTCCTTGCAAAGAGACATAAAACAGCAGTCTCCTGTGGGTTTGTGCGCCAGGAGCCAAGGGAGATGACAACTTTACTTTCAGCAGCGGCACAGCCTTTAATAAGGGCACTAAGCCAGCTGAACTTACTTTCTAATCATATTCAGAAATGTTCAATTTAACCACTTTATGGATATTAGAGACCTTCAAAATGATGAGCTTCATTTGACACCTGGTGAGTTTTACTTTCTTCTTTGGATTTAAGAAATTTTAAACAGAGACTTAAGAATTTAAAATAATATATAATTGACCAAAAAAAAAAAGGATTTTGATTTAAGAAAGTTTTAAATGGATTAAGAGACCAGAGAGATTTGGAATATTGGTTATTTTTGCTGTAAGATTTGAAAAACAAATACATAATTAAATAATATACTCATGGGAAACAAATAAAACAGAACTAAACCCATATTAGGAACTGAGGCTTGATTAAAGTTGCAAATGGACACTAGAGGGAACTAAAGGATCAAGCAGAAAAGAGTTAAAATGGCTAAGCCGGCTATAACCATTTCTTATCTTAGAGTTTTTTGATAACAGGACTGAGATATTGTCACAGATTGTGTTAATCCTTCCTTCCTTCCTTCCTTCCTTCCTTCCTTCCTTCCAAGATAGCTTGCTTTTTTTAATAATTATTTTATTAAACATTATAATTAAAAAGATAAAAACTAGTACAAAAAGATAAAGAAAAAGAAAAAATAGTGCAGAAAAGGAAAAAATAGGAAGAAAAATAGAAAAGAAAGAAAAAATAAGACTATAGTAAAGAAAAAGAAAAGAAATATATAAACAAATGATTTCCCCCTTCATCCCAACAAGTATAAACAAATTTAGTAACTTATCACTTTCTCAAAAAATACAACAAATGATATCTTCTTCCTGTATCTCATCTCTTATCTATAAACAAATCCTTAAAGCCTTGTCATTCAGACCCGGACAGCAAAAATCCATTAAGGGTTACCAGATATAACAACATATCTATTTTAATCTTGATCAAATAAACCAACTTTATATTCTTTCATTTTGCTTCTAACAATCTTGATCTTTAGTCCCTTCAAATAATGTCCTAGAACTTGACTTCTTTTCATTTGTTTTTTGTCCATTCTCATAAAATTCTTCAAAACTTTAACAAGTCTCTTTCATAAATCCAGTACAGGAAAATTATCCAAGTCACTCTCTTGGTTTGTTGTTTGTATATCCCTTTTAATTATTAAGACATCAGCCGGTTTCTTCTGTATGTCCAGTGTAACATCTTTTTTCATGTCAGTCTCGATCGTGTCAGGTAGAACTTGTTCCTCTTCCATAACATCTTTTAGACACTGTCTATCTATAGAGGCAA